TATATAAGTACAGTCCATTTGCCATTTATATTGATGAGCTATTACTGCTGTACATTGGGCAGAGAAACATGACAGATATAGGTTCTGTTATGAGAGTTGTTGTCTTTTGAAGAAAGGTTTTATTCATACTTTAGTAAAAAGAGGACATCATTAAGGACTTCAGAGACCACATCAGCATTAAAGGCTTTGGCAGTTTGGCAGTATGTCAGGTAAAAAAAAGTGTTGAATATTACAATGTGAAGCTTTACTGAGAGTAGCCAGAGCTGGCCAGACTGCCTGAAACAAGTTCCACTGTAGGAACTCAATAGAAGTGTGTGTGGCACAGGGATCATTGAATGTTAAACCCCTGTGTTCTTCAGATCCTACTGAAACACTGACTTGACATGTGAATTTATGTTGTACATTTTCTTTGTTGGTTTTTTGTTGTCAGGTCATGATTTACTCCTGCCATGTAGTGTGTCGCCATCTGTGGTGTCTTCTGATTGTTGTGACTTAATATGTCTCTTCAGGAGTTCTGTCGTCTTTTAAAGACAGTGAAGGTGGACGTGGATTCTTCAGGCAAGAAATGCAAAGAGAGGATGATGAAGGTTCTTATCGAAACCACTTTGTCTTCCTCCTGTGGAAATGGGTACAGTTGAGATACACACGGCTCTGATCCATATAATCAGTGTTTGATCACACAGAAGTATTATGACTCATCTCTGTGTCTTTCTGTCAGTCTCCAGGGTTTCGTGGTGAAGAACTATCAGTCGTTACCAGAGCTGACCGCAGCCTTCCAGGAAATCAACATGACTATGCTCTACCAGCAGATACGGCCATCATTAAGTGACTGACAGGTTACCACGATGACAGAATCTTAAATGAGAAGATCCATGACGAGCCTCCTCAAAACACTCACTGTGCTGTAGCATTGGCTCAACAGCACACACAATGGGACGGATGATGTCTTCTGAGAAAGGTTTTTATCTACTGTAAATTTGCTGTGTTACTGTTTATTTGCATCATACTCTTGCAAATACTCAAGTCTTGATTTGAGAATTGATACTAGGGCATCTAGGCCTGACCCCTAATAGTCATCTAAACCGTTAGTCGATGAGAAGAGTCTGAATCAACCCATTTCATTAGTCAGATGGTCACAGAAAAACAAAAACAACATTAAATTGTGTTCTGGAGCTGCACCTTGTTACCGGGCTAGGACATCAGGGTAAGCCAATCAGATATTGCTAAATGTACTAGTGGCATTAGGTAGTTAGTGGTCCTATTAGCTGACTCTGCCAGCAGGGCGGACAGGCAATGGATCCTCTGAAACCAGCAGAGGCTGCGTGATTTTACAGTGGAACCGACCAGGACTCTCTCTGGGGATGATGAAGACACAGCGGGCTCAGATGGTGAAATGGGAGAGGAACGAGTTTGTAGCAATTGATTTGTAAGTAACATTATACGTCATGCACTGTATCGATAACCAGTATGTGTTTTTGTGAAGTTGGAAGGTATTTATTGTGTTTTGAACAAGACTTTTGTGATGTTATACTGTAATAAAATAAATTCATTAAATGTTCAGTTTCCTTGCTGGTTGTTCTGACGCATTTAGTTAGCATTTAACAGTCAGCTGTTAAAAAATACAAAAACATAATAAATAAATATTATAAATGTGCAACAATTGGTCAACTAATGGCTTGGAAAATCTTTTGTCGGGGTCAGCCCTACTAGTGTCAGTATGATCAATGTAAAAACAAATGGATCCATCACATTAGATGACATCCTGGACGTCATCCTGGTGATTATTCACCATTCAAACTTTATTTACCATCAAAAATTTGCTTGTGTTTAAATGTTAAAAAGTAATTTAATCTAAAAAAGTATCTAAGTAAAAAAGTTGTTGACTACTGAACAGCATCGGGGGCAATTTGGGCTTCAGTATCTTGCTCAAGGATACTTCGACATGCAGCAGTAGCCCAGGATCGAACCACCAACATTCCGATTAGTGGACTTTGCTTCTTGTTCAGTCATGAGTATTTAACGTTAAAAGAAAAGAAAAAAATGAAGAAACATTTAAGACTATAAAGCCTCTACAAGGAACTTTCATTTTGACAGTAGTGTTTTTACCATATCATTTAATTGATTTCAAGGGGAATTCTCTCCCCCTGATGCCCAGTGCTTTGTTAACTGCTCAGGTCATATAGACCTTATTAGTATTAACGCTGAGACTGTTTCATAACCGGTTAAAAACTCCTCATAGTAGCTTTAATTAAAGAGTTATGTTTTCAGGAGCTTTTAGGTCAACTAGATATTTCAGACACCCCTACTGAGGTTCTGGTGAAAACTTAAGGTGGAATGTGTCTGCAGTATCCAGTCTATCTTAAAATTATTTCTGAAATATCTCGTTTGGGTTTAGGTCACAGTTACATCAGGGGTTGGTGAAATATCCTGTGTAAGAGAGATTTAAGCAAAACACAGTTATCTTGTTTTAGTTCTTTACAGATGTTTCAAAGCATTCTGTGCAGGGTTTTATTTCTTTAAGTTGTTGTCATCTAGTGGTAATATCAAGAATAACACCAGTAGACTGCATTGCTGAAAGCTTCAAAATGTAAAACTAAATCTGTTTTCACTGATTATTTTACAAAAAAGTTTGGCCATCATAAAAAATAGGTGTTATCACATTTAAATACTACATTAAATACAAATTTTAAGGTGCTGTCAAAGCATGAATGATACCAGGCACAATGGGAACAAATCCAAAAACACTAGCAAAAACAACTCGAATGTACGACTGCAGGAGTGTGAGACGTGATCTACCACAGTGGGTGATTCATTGATTTGTCGACAAGTGGGTGGAGAACAAGAGCTGATATACATTCAGTTCCGATTTGCTCTATTTGCATACATTTTACAAAAGCAATATTACCAAAGCATTAAGAATGCAGTGAAATAACATTAATACATTGCATGATGAAAATATGAAAAGAAAAAAAATACAATTCATAAAAAGTGTGTGTGTGTGTGTCACATTCAGAAAGTGCATCTCTGTCTTCACCTTACGTGTCGTGCAATGACTCTTTCCTCTGTTGCTAGCCAGGACTTCCTGTGTTGTCCTTTCTCCAACCCGATTATCGGCCGTCG